GCATGATCACAAGTACAAGCAATTTAAGCGGCTAACAGCCCAAACCCAAAGAAGCTCACGGCCTGCGGTAGAAGGCTTCGTATCTCGGGTGATGAAGGCATTAATTGTAACGAATATTCATCCTTTCTGTGGTGAGGTTGGATTGAACTGAAACCGCCGAGGTTTTCGAAGTTGGGTCATTTGAATTATTCAAACTATTATTGTGACTGTAATCGTGTATCAGAACTCTTAATTGCAGTTTAAATTCACAATTTGAGGTTTGACCGTTTAAGATACCGGATTAATGTTTTCTGAGTCCAAACAAAATTATTGACACGTTGCATTTGCCCTCAAACAGAGATCACTATCTGTGATCTCAGAAGCATGACAAATATGCTATGTAAGATCAGGGTGGGACGCAAGGATGCTGAGGTTGCTGGTCCGTAACAGTGTTTCCAATGGGTTTGTTTGCTGTTGCTCAGTGCAGACAAAAAAACCATACAGCGAATCGAACCTGCTGCAACTTTTGCTAACCGGACATCCACGTAACTGCCTAAAATATTGGACAAAGCCATATAAGGAGCATTTATGCATTAGCTAGCGTTCTTATTATTCAACAGATCGTTTATTTGGTTGTCTCTCAATTTCCATTTAACGCTTATTTCCCACGCCTCACCGGTCTTTCAAAAAAGATAAGAAGTCCATCGTGAATAAACATTTTATTCCTTTCGAAATTGGTAGAACGGAAACAGAGACTAATACACACAGAGGTTACTGAATAGGTGTGGTAAAGAAAATTGCGATCCACATTTACGGTATTGTAATACGCGTTATCTCTGATAACGAGCCTGCAAACTGTTTAGTCCGCATTCACATGCACAAGGCAGATAAGAGCGCTTTCCATAGCATGGATCGCGTTGTCTCCAAACTATTTATAGCTTCTGTGTGCTTCCTGTTTGGGTAATATAATAGTATAGAACTGAAATCGATCGACCAAATTATAAGTTCCATTTGAGTTAGGCATTATATCCACAAAGCTTGTATCTTAAATTGACCTACAGCCTAGCTTGTCAACTTCCGTCCTTTATGTTTATTGAAGTCTCACTAAGGTTATTAAGTATTATTTACTGATTCTTGTGCGTTTTTATTTAACTCTTTGCCGTCCCAGTAATGTATTGTATGCTTCTTATCCCTTTGCTGTTCATTCCTCTGCCGCTTACTTCACACCTAATCGTTTGCATAGTTTTCGCTAGCTTAGATTTTGTAGCAGGTAGTCTGCTGATTTTTGAATAGTCCCTCGTCCATTCTTCGCGTTTTGACACCCATACCAAATTCCTCGTCGGTTTTACTTAAATCCAAACACATCAAAGGACTTGTTAAATAATGCTATCAGATCTATGCCTGACTGTTATAGTGACCTGGTTTTTAAAAACGTATTGTTTACTATTTACTTTGCAAGTCTTGTCATAGATGTTACTCATCAACCAACTACCTGACTCGATTAATTTCACACTTCCTCTGACCACCTTAAGTGCAAATATGGCTATCACTGTAAGGTGTGCATTTGCTGTTTGTTGTTGGGGATTAGCTTGCGTTGGATGGTCTAATTTGCAGATTATTCTTAACAAACTTAATTTCATGCTATTAATTTCCTCCCCACTGAACACCTAACCCGGTATAGAAGGATAGGTTATGTGGGATCTAACCGAAGCATAGATAAAGTGGCAGATTGTAAGTGACTTGCATAGAAACATATTTTTATGTTCTTTGACATCGATCTCAACAGAGTCAGGGTAAAGACATCCCTGCTGAGTAAGCAACTTTGCTGACATTAAGAAAGGCGTGCTTGGTTATGAAAGTATAATCTCGGTCTACAAAAGCCGCCTTGGACCGTTTCGTACTGTTACAAAACCTCTCTTACGTGTTCGTTATCGATTACATTATGCCTAAACATTGGTTGGTTTCCACTACCTGTGTGTGCCAGGTGTGATAAGGGAATTTTACGGTTCAGAACTCGACTCCTCTAGTGTTGCGCTAGCACTTTAATGAGATTTCGAAGTGACTCGATTATGGGCCTAAACGCAAGCTGCGAATTCAGATCTTC